GAAAAGAGGAAAATTGGCGAGAAAAAATTGAACTTGGATTTTGACAAATGTTTTCGTTGCTTAGTTTTTTAGCTGCTGTTGCTCACTCGGACATGAAAGATTTTTTAATATCGCACAAGACTGCAACGGCTACTGTAGTTGTAGTCTGCTTCATATATAATAATCAATTTTTCTTGCTTTTAATTAGAATTTTTAAGCTCAAACTATTCACTAACTATAACTGTTTCTATAATAGTTTTCTTCTGCTTTTTTCCTCTTCTTAAAATATTAATATTTTGAAGTGCAGCAACAAAAAAAAGTGGTTTTTATGCTCAACTTGTCTATTGTCTTTCCAGCTATATAAATACCCTTGAAATTGAACACTAGTGATTTCCTCCTGACGGTTAAATCTGCTAAGTTGTTAAAACATTTTCAACTATTTTCTTTTACTGAAAATTTCGTAAATCAACAGAAGAAAAAAAATGATATATGTGTGATGAAGATAAGGCTTGCTTACCTGAACATTTTATAACCAATTTTGGTATCAGCATACTTTTAAATAAAGTTGAAATTCTAAAAAATTTTTTTTATCTGCTCTTGTTGCAATAAGAGCATTGCCAAACATTAAACGATATGATACTCAAATATCACCGGCTGATTTAGATCTTAAAAGTCCTACTTTCTTTGGAATATTTAACCTCAGTTCTGAACTTGACTTTTTTCCTTCCTAGCTGAATAATTACGGAGAGCAAAACAGTTTGTCAAAATGATCTCTATGGGCTTTCGTCTGGCGAAATTCGGGGAATTCAGTCACACAGCTGTACTTAGTGATTGAAGCCAGGAAGATGAGATGAAGGTAACAAGGGAGGTGTAGAGAAAATGAAATCGGATAAGGAAAAGAGGAAGTGGCACGAAAAGAGTAAGAAAAATAAGTTGAGAAAGAAAAGTAAAATATTATTGTTCAGAAGAAGAAAGTTGGCATAATGAGCAATTGTAGGTGCAAACAAAGGTTTATAACAGTTAAACTGAGCAAGTCATGAAACTGCATATTAAGAAGAAGTAGTTAACACCAAGAAAATAGCCGATTGAATATTACTTTGAAATGCTGAAAGTATTAGACAATTCAGATTTTTTTTCAAATGCTAATTTTTTGATAGAAAAGTTAATCTTAACAGCAAACTAAACTGGTCACTGTAAACGTCGCTTATGTTTCTTCGAACCTTGCCTTAGTTTTCCAACCTTCTTTTATGCCTTATTCTGTCTTGAATTCATTTTTTTCCTTGCCTTTCAACGTATATATCTGTACATGCATTTGACTTGTTGTATGCCTCGTTGCTGCCAAAGAAACAAGTTTTTTTGGTTGCATATATTAATTGCTGAAGCTTCTTATCAGTCGCTTTTTCTCTGATACCTTATTTCTCTTTTTTTTTCAGCATTTATATATATATATG